ATGTTGTATCTCTCTTCACACAAGTGCCCATTAATGAAGCCTTGACAGCCATTCAAAACAAATACAATCCCCCGAATACATCCTGGACCTGACCAACCACTGCCTAACCAACACGTACTTCATCCACAATGGACAAAGATACAAACAGATAGAAGGAGCACCTATGGATCACCACTCTCACCGGTCATCGCAAACCTGTACATGGAACACTTTGAAACCAATGCTTTAGACAAGTCAGAACACAAACCCAAACTTTGGCTCAGATATGTTGACGACACCTTTGTAATTTGGCCACACGGGAAGGAAAAACTAGATAGCTTCCTCACACATCTCAACAGCCTACACCCCAAAATACAATTCACTATGGAAATAGAAGCCAACAACCAACTTCCCTTCCTTGACGTCCTAATCTACAAAAAACCTGATGGCTCCCTAGGACACACTATCTACCGGAAAAAAACACACACCAACCGCTACTTACATGCACAATCACACCACCACCCTGCAGAAATAAACTCCGTAGCCAAGACTCTCATCTCCAGAACCAAACGCCTGGCTGACAAAGACCACTTGACAACTGAGTTACAGAATCTCTCCAATGTGTTAATCGCCAATGGATACCAGCAAAACAGGGTTACGAAGCTAATGCAAAAAGAAACACCCCCCAAAAACCAAGACACAGAAGAAAACAATGGCATGGCCCTCCTTCCTTATATCAAGGGCACTACAGATAAAATTAGCAAAATCCTCCATAAACACAATATCAAAACAGCCTTTTGCACCAACCAAAAAATAGCCAATATCCTCAGAAACCCCAAGGATAAAATCCAGTTGGAAAACCAAGGAGTCTATGAAATACCCTGCAAAGTCTGCCCAGCCACGTACATTGGACAAACAAACAGACGAATAAATGCACGTATCGCAGAACACAAGAATGCCGTCAAAAAAGAAGAAAAAACTTCCTCTCTTTTCCAACACATGAAAGAAACAGGACACGAAATTAATTTTGCAGATTCCAAATTGCTCGCTAACATGGAACATCACCACAAGAGAATAATCATGGAAGCCATCGAGATAGAGAAACACCCTCACAACATGAACAAGCGTGACGACTCATCCCGCCTGCCAGACATCTGGAAATTAGCCCTCCCCACAAAAACCGACACCAGATCCAGAGGCACACAGAACGCCATCACCAATCAACCACACCAGACCCAAACCCAGACCCTCTCCACAGATAAATTACAGACACCATCCAGTAGCCAAACCATGGTGGCACCTCCGGATGCTGCACCCCCCTGCAATCCCTACACAGATCTGGCTGGCACAGGACACAAAACCACAGCTCGCCCCTATACACGAAGCCAAGCCAGAGCACAACTAAGTGCAGTACAGCCATCTTCTCAGAAAAACTCTTCACAAAGTTCAAGAGGTCAAGACACGAAGGCTTTAGCAACTAATCCACACCTAATGACCCACCTAAGTGGTACTCAGGATATCACTCAAGAAATCACTCAAGATATCCCTCAAGTAATTAAGGAACAAAAGAAGAAAAGGCACACTAGCCTGGGAACTTCCTCTCTGCCCAGAACATTGGAGGCTATACACCACACCCCCTCAACAGTATTTATAGGAACTCAAACACTGAGATCCTGCTCTGTTCCAGTAACAAGAAGCCGAAAGCACCAGCCTGAAGATGACGAGTGAGACCTCGTCGAAACGTCGCCTAGACACCCCAACTTTTACACGGGAAGACACCCGAGGACACCAAAACCTGCATATATATATACACACACACACACACACACACACACACACACACACACGAGGCTTTATTTATATATAAACACATACACAAAGATCTATTCAGAGAGTATTTTCACACTCCTCTCACAGGCAAAAGGGATTGGAGGGAGGCAGCAGGGTGGGGGGGCAGAGGCAGGGAGGGGGCGCGCTGGCAAAAGCTGCAACAGCAAAATGCCTGCAGCTCAGGAGCCAGGAGGCCTCGGCAGGGCTGCTTAAGCAGACCAGAGCTGGCACTTGAGGAAAAATGAGGAACTGAGAGGGGAAGGGACAGGGGGGTGGTGACAACCTCACTTTTTGGCCCCCAAACCACAGGCTTTCCTCTCCCTGGTCATCCAGCCCATTCCTTCTTGCCCATCACACACACTTAAAGCCCCCCTGCTAGCACTTTGTATAATCCAGTCAATGGGGGCACATGGAGAGCCACTGGGGAATGACTAGGTAAACACAGGGTTCACACTTAACAGAGGCTTTTCATAATAAAGTGGTGTTTGAAGCTCTCAGCAGCAGCAAATCAAAAGGTAGTTAGGCGCTGGGGACGCCTGGTGAAGTGGGGGCTAGGGAGCAGGGCTCTCTGCCACATCACCAAGGTCCTGTCTGACAACCTCCTTGCAGAGCTTTCACCAAGCAAAGATGTGCTTACTTTGTCAAATTTTTGATGCTGCATTCACATGAAGGCCCAGTCCAGCCCCTCCCTTACACGCATAATTAGGCAGAAAGAGCCCTATACGCATAGGGCAGCTGGGGTTCAGCAGAAGGGGAAATTGTGGAGGGGAAATAGGTCTTCCTCTTTCTATTCAAGCTGCTGTTTCTACCGGGAGGCAGTAGGCTTCTTTAATAAGTTTTATACATTTAAAAATCTATTTCTGAGCACTGATCTGAGCTCTAGAAAAGCAATACTACAGACATCTCCCTCCTTACATAGGGCTTACATTCCCGGGTACCGCTCCTATACTTGAAATCATGGATAGTGGGGAGGGAACATCATCTAAAACGCCTGTAAACATCCTCTAAGCCACACACGGCTTCTTGGGTTTCTCAGCACCAGAGGAAGATGATGATGCCTTGCATTTAGGCGCCATCTCAAAAAAAAAAAAAAAACCACCTCCAAAAATTCATGGGATTGCCGTTGCAAAGGCTCCTAGGACAGCTAGCTGTATTCCCTCTCTTTTCGGGCCATTTTTGTCCTTTTTATGTCTTTATGCAGATCAAATCTATTTATTTATTTATTTATTTATTTATTTATTTCCTAATGCTGCACATATATGTGGTCACACGCAAGTGGGGAGATGTATGATTGATTAATATCAATCACAGCTAGTAAGCGGTTGCAGCTTTTGGGTGCTTCTGAAAGGGAGTGCCATCATCAGACAGCAACTGTACTTAACTGGTTTGGTTGCAGGACACCTGGAAAACTGTGATGGAGAGTCATGAATCACACTGGAACATGTGCTGGTGAGCCACAGCCAGGGCCAGCCCACCCATGAGGCAAGGTGAGGCAACTGCCTCAGACGGCAGGATCCACAGGGGCTGCAGATCCTGTTGTAGATCTTTATTCCTCTCTGGTTCCTGATGTAGATCTTCACTTCTCCGCTTCCCTGGTGGGAGGGGGGCACCATTTCATGGTTCGCGTCAAGGGCCAAAATGTTTTGGACCAGCCATGGCCAGAGCCACCATTGGCAGCATGCCCACTGCATGTTTGGGGACACAGCGAACACCAGTGTGACACGTGTGCAGTCAGGTGAAACATTACTGCCACGTGAAGTGGCTGATTAGGCTGACCCTTTCAACAGTATTTGTGCTTAAGGGTGCTTAGTGACCCGACCTGCACGCAGTCAATAATTTGCTACAAAGATTCTGGGTTGCTAATTGAAAACAAGCAGACACACATGATGTGGTCAGAACCTCCTATCTACTTAAGGCCCATTATAGTCCTGACTCCCGACTAATGGGGATTTCAGTGGAGAACAGATTGAAATGAGATGCTAATTTAGAATTTGGGTTAGAGTACAATTGCACAACTCTTTTCGAGCTCTCAAAATTGCAGAGAAGTTGACAATGAGACAGAGTTTACAGAAAATCCTTAGAGATGCTGTGCCATTTTTTTAAAATGACCCTATACCAATACAATTCTGCACAATTTAATTTAGAGAGGTCTCACCATTTATGCAATTTTAAGATTGTGTTTAACTTATTCATGGGAAGAGGCCAAGCAATCTGACCACCAGGAATTCTTTTTGCCTCTTCACCTGCCTCTTCACATGATTAGTCCTTTATGAATTGTGAGAGTTCATCAAAAACTACTCAGAAAACTTTCAAACCTACTAGAATGTGATCTAAACCTCCCTTTAAATCCATCTCAGCCAAAAGACGGGAACTCACTCAAACTCACCAACAGATGGTACCTAACACCACGGAAACTGGCACTGATATGCCCAGGAACCTCACCTAAATGTTGAAGAGCCTGCACTTCCACAGGCACATGCCTCCACATGTGGTGGGAATGCCCCCAAAATCCAACCCTTCTGGACATCAGTCCTACAAGAGATATGGAAAAATAACTAAACAGGTATTTGAACCGGCCCTACCGAACATCTTCCGAGATAATAATGTCCACTCACATTATACAGAGCTTATAACCCACCTACTCTCAGCAGCCTGAAGCCTCATAGCCAGACACTGGAGAGACCTCTCAGGAGTAAACATGGACCACTGGTACCAAATGGGAAACAGCCTTACGAGAAAAGCTAACCAACAGACTAAAGTGACATGGGGACAAATAGAAGAGGGCTCTTTCACCCCAGTATGGCTTCCCTTTATCTCATACACAGCCCAACAAGACGACAACAGCATACAAATCAATCTGGCTTACTTGACCCAACAAACCCCCCCCCCCACTTCACAAATGCAAACAAACCTCACTGCAGACAATCACAGACAACCATCCACACCCTGGGCTCCCCCAATCCCTCTCACTACCAAGGAAATGTAATAAGCAAATAGAAGGAGAACCTACCCAGTTGATGCTGGCACAAAACCCCACATGTACACTGTAAAAAAATAGAAATTTCACCACTATCCCTCCTCTCCCCCCATCTTCTTCCTGGCCTTATACTGGTACTCAACACTAATGTCTCATAACAAATGTAGCTGATCTGTAGAAAAGACTGTACAGCCTGAAAAAAGAGACAAGGCACTTTTGTAAACCAAGAAAATCTTTAATAAAAATAATTTTTTTAAAAGAAAACTTGTAAGCCCCTTCTCATCAGTACAAGATTTACAAACTTGTTTCTAAAAACAAGTGATAGCAGAGACCTTCCAGAGGCTGAGTTCTGTCCCACTGCCATATGGATGCATGGATATTATTATGGGATACATACAGCACTTATCTCTATGTGCTCTTCCATTCCTTTTCCACTCCACTCCCAGTCCTCAACAAGGTATTCAGAATTCTGTAACCAGAGGTTTAACAAAAAGTAAATCACACTGGTGCCATGAAGTGTGCATAATTTGTTCCAAGCAGAGAAGTTTGTGTTTCCAAGGCCCATATACAGCAAAACCAATTATGCAACTATTTATTTGCTGATGAACTGAATGATGGCAGCTTCTTAGTCTTTAATTGACAATTCTTACACCCATGTCAGCACATCATCAAAATTGGAAAAAGAGAAACCAGTGGGAGGGAGACACATAATGACTGTCTCTAGTGGCCATTTACCACTTCCATATGAGCTAATAAAAATATTATAGGAGTCAAGAGCCACAAAATGTCTTAAGCCATTCTTCAAGCCTAGTAAAAGATTAGAAAGGCGGACTCCAGCTGTGAAATGATAAAGTAATAATACACCAATAGGGGTGTGCAATGGGCTTTTGTGGGAAGGGAAACCCCGACTTCCATGATATACAAATACTGGAACTCAGAGACAGAGGTTTGAAATTACAGATGGAAAAACAGAAACCACAGATGAGTCAGTGTGTTATTTGTAGTGCCATTCTCCAAGTGCAAGAAACCATGTGTGTGTGTCTTATATATCTACACACAGAGAAGATCAGATGGTTCACTCTTTTAACCCTTGCCTACCATCTCCAATATTTTAAACAGGCATCTGGATGCTTAAATCCTTTTCAGGGCTAGATTCACCAGAACTGAGCCATCCATTGCCACTCTCTTCCCACATTCTTGGATTTCTCCGCTACATCTGCTCCATTCAAGAGTCCAAAGTTCATGGGGGAATTCAGTTACAGAACTGTCAGAGGCTGGAACGTGGCAGCCACAACCAATGACACTCAAGGTCTCTTCTGAGTCATGGTAACTGCCTTCTGAAGTTGCTCTCTTGGCACGAGCTGAAGAGTATCCAGGGCATGAATCAGCTGCTCCCGGGAATTGCCAATGAAAGTGTTGCTAAGGAAAGCAGGGAGCCCCCCAACGCCATCGCGCAGGGTATAGAGGGGGACACGGATGAGCCCCATCACCTGAAGCCACAGAGGAAGGAAATCAGGTCAAAAATGCCCTTCTGAACCCCTCCCTCCTCTCCTTCTCTTCTCCCCCCCCCCCCAATGAAGCAACCAGGAGTATGTGAGTTCAGCAAGAGGACAGAATATCATATTTGGGCACACAATTTAGTTCCCTGAAGATTTCAACTTCCTTTAAATAACAACATCAGTTTCTAGTCCCCGAGGCTTCCAAATATTTTGGGGCAAAACCTGGTCAAATCTCAGGAACCTAAGAAGGTGCTGAGTGATCAGAGATGGGGCTTCAGCTCCCTGCAAAGCTCTTTCTTCCACTCCGTGACTATTAAGGCCAGAATAAATTATGCAAAACTGGGGGAAATAGATGAGAAAATTGTTCAAATTAAGAAAATCAGCATAATTCTTCTTAATTCACGTAATTCAGGCAAGCTGCAGAATTCAGCCAATTCGGGGGGGGGGACTGGCATTATCTTGGCCCAGAAGTTCATAATACTATGCAGGATACATACAGCAGCCCAGTGTGTGGCAGACCCCAAACCAGACAAGACCAGCCGCACCCTACCCTGTACTTTCCACACCTCTAAGCCGTGTTCTTTTGCCTGAGTGGCCCCGTCTTCTAGGGTCCGGAGCGCCTCCAGGCTAAGCGGCTTGGCGTAGAAGTGCGTCACGACTCGCCGTGGCCCCTCGGGCACATGGGAGCTCAAGTAGTGGTCCTCAGTCACGTGCAGTGAGGCAGCGCCAGGGCCCAACTCTTCATGCAGCTCCCTATTCAGACCCTCCTCCAGGGACACATCCTGCGGGTCCACAAATCCACCGGGAAACCCCAGGCGCCCATCGAACCGCATCTGCATCTGCAAAGGGAACAGAACAGTGCTTTGGGTCTCTTAAAGCAGCAACACTGGATATGACTTTGGATTTATGAAATGGTGGGTTGGATTTGGGATTCCTGCCCTTATTATTTAATTACTGCATTTATAGCTCATCTTTCCTCCAAGGAGCTCAGGTTTGCATACATCATCCTCCACACCCTCATTTTATCCTTACAACAACCCTGTGAGGTAGGTTGTCTGGAACTGCCCTAAGATAGCTCTAAAACATACCCAGTTTCATCTGCCATTCAGTAACACTTAACGTTCACTTTTTTCAGTTTCTGGGTCTCCTGTTCATCATCACCTGCAAATTTCTCCAGTACAGTTTCACCTTTTGCAGAAGGCTTTCAACATCTCTGCTCACTGAAATTGTTGGAACTGGTCTTCTTCTGCCCTCTTATTTACTGGTGTGCTCCAGAGAAGGTCATTTGTTACAAAGGTGAATCAAGTAACTCCACACTCTTTGCCTTTCTCCTCCATTCCCAGTACAGGGGACAGGTGCCTCTTCCTGCATTGCAGGGGGTTGGACTAGATGATCCTCAGGGTCCCTATGATTCTATGTCTTGCCCCCCTTTTGGCAAGGTTGCTTGCCCTTCCCTTTGACACGGAAGTGCTCTCGAGGGGCTGCCCTCATGCCCTGCTTTATGTCCTTGCTAGAAAAGGCTGAGAAAGGAAATTATTGGCAACTGTTAGTTTTTTCCTGCCGATCTCACTTGGATCCCTAATGCAGCCCACAGGTTTACAGAGTTCAAGTACAACCTGGTTTCTTCTCAACAGACAATAACCATCATTTTGTTGATGGCTCATCTGTCTTAAGATAACAGCCCACCTCCCCACCCACTTCAAACTCATCAAAATCAATCCCAGTGTTTATACCAGGAGTTCAGACACAGCACTGTTTAATTTCTAAAATACATGCCTCAAAATCACACCTTCTGGCACATAACTTTTGCCCCCTAAAGCTTACCGGTAATTATCACTAAGTTGCTAAACTTGGGGGGGGGAGGGGAACTATCAAAAAGAAGGCTAGGCTAGGCTCGTCATTTCCCCTGCCAGGTCACTATTCTTAGTGGTGTGGTTTTTTTAACAGATGAGCATTCAGTCCTGTGGTACCATCAGGCCTGGAAGCAAAGGTCCAGGGCTCAGCTCAAGGAGCAGGGGGGGGGGGCCTCAAAAGCAACACGACTGGCTTACCACAGGTTTAAGTTAAATAATACACGCTGCCATCTAAGAAGCAGAGACGGAAGACCATTAAGTCCGGAATCTAAAATTACCTAAGTGCAGCAGTGATTCACTCACACCTGCCCCAAAATGCAGCCTCCATAAATATTGCTTGCAGCCATAAGCCATTGCAAACCAGAACTATGGACACGCTAAAGTCTAACAAATCTGTCGTGGCACAATAAATGCGTTAGTCTTCCAGCCTCTTCGTCGCTTCCTGCTGCAACAGATTTACAACGCTGTTCCTCTGAAAAATAGGCCAGTCACCCGCAGGAAGCATTCACGATTTAATTTCTATCCCGCCCTCTCTTCCAAAGCAGCCCGTGAACGAAAGGCAACATCCAGGGACACCTGGGTTTCCGTTCAAGGCAAGCAGCCCTGACATTAAAAGCGGGTCGCGGGACTGCTGAGCTTTGGGCAAGACAAGCGTGGTCTGCAAACGCCCATTTTTTTTGAATGCGTGGGGGGGGGGCTTACTCTTCCTGCTAACCGGCAGATCTCCACCTGTCCCGCCCCCCCGCCCCCAGCTCATTTCTCACCAGTGCTGCGAAACGCAGCGGGAACTTCCCGAAGAGGCGTCCGGGGCAAGGCGCGTACAGGAGGGCATGGCAAGCGTGCTGCCAGTCGGGCGGCGCCAGCTGCAGCGCTTCGGCCCTGCTCAGAGCCCGGCACTCGCCCATCGCCCTCACTTGGACCCGGCGGCCGAGAGGAAAGAGAAGACTACAGATCAGAGGCACCGCGCCTCCAATCAGCGCGCACCGAACTTTCCTTGCGGCCAATCAGAGGCTCCGGGGGAGGAAACCGTGGAGGCGCGCGAGGTCTCCCCATTCATGCAGTTGGGCGGCGTTGGCCGCGAGAGGGCGCCCGCTTGCCGCGCTCCTGCGAAACCTGGCGAGGCGACGCAGGAGCCCGTCGCCTTTCCTCTCCTCCTTGCTAGGACGAACCCCTAAATGCGCAAAGCAAAAGTGCACGCTCAGGATCGCTTGAGGGCCGAGGCCGCACTCACGCCAAGCAGCACTTTGTTGCGCCAGACCGAGGCCTGCGCCCTCCAAGCTCCCCTAGGCTGCGAGGTGACCCGCCAGAAAGCGGCCCGGGTGGCCTACTTAAAGAGAGCCAGCCCTCTGCCTGGAGAAGTCCTCTGTTTGAAGGGTTATCCAGTCCCAAGCCTGAGGCGAGGGGGGTTAGTGGTTTGTTTTCGTTGTGTTTTTAGGTTTTTTATCTTGCATTTTTATGTTGTGCACCACCTTTAGATATACGGATGAAGGCTGGTATACAAATTTAATAAATAATATTGATGGAAATCAGTGAAAGACACATTGAGCAGGTACACAGGGCAGTCTCTCCCCCCCACATCCCCCCCCCGTTGCAACAACTTGTATTTCTATTTAAATTATAGCACTGCTTTTTAAAAATTTGCATCTATATAGTAGCTGATACAAATGTTATGTAAATCTGTCTTATGCCCCTTTATTTGGTGATGTGCCAATAGCTGCTGTATCCAGACTGCTGCCTGCCCTCCAGGCCACCCTGTAGTTAAGAGTGGCTGGGGAAACCCAGCCAGATGGGCAGGCTATACAGTGGTACCTCGGGTTACATACGCTTCAGGTTACAGACTCTGCTAACCCAGAAGTAGTACCTCGACTTTAAGAACTCCGGCAGCGCGGCGGCAGCAGGAGGCCCCATTAGCTAAAGTGGTGCCTCAGGTTAAGAACAGTTTCAGGTTAAGAACGGACCTCTGGAACGAATTAAGTTCTTAACCTGAGGTACCACTGTTAATAATAAACTATTTTATTATTATTAAGGCTGCCATTTTCTAACTTGAGCTCATTGGCCCCTTATAAGGGAGTTCTCAATGAGATCAGAAGTGATGGATGAGCTTTCCTGGAGGACTGCTTGCCTAACACTACATTCTTCAGGGATTTAAGGTACTGGGTGTGACCCAGGAGTCAGGACACATTCTCCATTCACACAGAGCAATGGCATGGTCTAGTGGCCCTGGGCAGGATCCCACATGGATTGAGCATGTGCCTAGATCTCCCAGGATCCTCTGCAACATACAGAGGTTGCTGAGCAGTGGACAAGTCCACACGGAGAGGGGCTCCCTGAAGCTGCTGTTTGGAAACCACGGCTTCAAAATTAGAACAGTTGCACATTCTGCAGAATTAAATGGCAGTTAGCCTACAGTCAAACCACTGCAAACTGTAAATGAGGGTCATACTTTCAAGTACTTCCCTCCATAATTCCCTGTGTACTGTGCAAAAACTTAGCACATTAGAAAAAGATTGCCTCTCCGTGATGGCTACAAGGTCTGGTTGGCTAATGGAGGAACCAAGACTGTTGGTCTATACAGAAGTCCTCCCAATTAGTTTAGGTGGATTTGGGGAGGGGGTGTCCTCTCCCTCTTCTCTAATATGAGGCTGGCTCCAGACACAGGGAAAGTCCTCCTTTGAAGCCCCTATGCTCTGAGCATCTTTGAGTGGGCTTTCAAGTTGGGGGGAGCTACAAATGCCCTATGATACATGTCAGTGCTCACCGGAAGCCCTCCCTCCCCCGGCACGCAAAAGGTAAATTGATAACTTTCGCCTTCCTTCTCCCTGCTTCCCAATCTTGTCCCTTTTAGCCACTAGAGGTTCATGTTACTAGTAGATACCTCTCACTCACTTTGCTGCATGTTCTGGCCAGTTGGGGTGCTTTGTCCAGTCTTTTCCTCTATGGATCCTTGAACCCAGAAGGGCACTGTGTGCACTCTCTGCAGGCCTTCTGCCAAAGGGGCTGTGTGGGGTCGGTGTTGCATCGTCCCCCGTCCCCCCCGGAAGTGTACCACAACTGCACCACGCCAAATGAGGGAAGATGTCAGACACTGACATTGCTAACCCAGAAGTGGCATAGCAATAAACAACAGATAAAAAGTGTTACCCTAAAATGTGATTCACCACCTGTAACTGAAATACAGAGGACAGGAGATGGGCTGAATATCTAGGCTAAACGCAGAGGAGCTGTGGGCCTCCTCCATGCTCCCTCTCTATGCAAGCTTCACTGAAAGGACACACAACCCATGCCAGCACACACACCCCTCTGGTTCCATAAACCTTTATTTCCAAACCCCCTGTAGGGACCTTACACCTGCAAGCAAAGACACAGATCCTTCAAGGGCTGACTTCAAGTGAGTGGCCTGGCGAAAGCCCTTGCTAGGAGGCCGAGTCAGAGGCCTCTGAGCTGTCCTTGACATCTGTGCTCTCTGTGGCCTCGCTGACCTCGCTGACATCTTTGCTGTCGCCACTGTCTTCAGCCCCAGGCCCGCTGCCCACCCCGGTCCCAGGGCATTTCTCATCCCGGCAGGATTCGCCAACGTGGTTGGCCTTGTGGTCCCCGCTCTTGTTCTCAATGGAGCCCAGGACAGAGTGCTTGCTCTTCTCTTTCAGGTCCACCTGCCTCCGCAGCTGTGAGGGAACAGGGGCTCGTTTTAGCTGGAATGTGTGCGTGTTGGGAAGGTAAGCAGTTTTCATCCACAAAACCCTTGGCTGAATTACAAAGGTCTTGCGCATTCTTTTCAGGAGACAGCCCAAAAAAAGGAGCCTCAAAATCTGCAAAGCAGCTATGGGAGGAAATGTTTTTGATGTTGCTTGCCACTGTTCACATTTCGAACATCCTGCCAAGCACATCCAGAAAACTCCCGTGAGACCCTCGTCAACCCAAGCAGCATGAAACCCCATCAGCCCAACATGCGAGTATGTATGTATACAGTTATTGATAGTGAACTCCTCCACCCTTTCCGTTTGGCTACATGAGCACCCCAGCACAGGGGAGAGGGAGGCACACAGCCTCCAAAGAACTTGAAAGATACAAACAATAACCTGGCAAAATGGAGGGGAACTGCAAGCAGAGGTTAGCTTTGCTGCAGTTTTCCACTTGTCTGTCTCAGTATATCTGGGTGAGAACTCTTGCGTAGGTGTACATCAGCAGAGGAGGAACACACAGCGTCCCAAAATAGGTGTGGGCACACTTACTTTTTTTAAAAGGAATTAAACAAGTGCGTGGGACCAAGAGCTGTGTTGCTCATCACAAAATATACAAGCATCATCTTACCACACAATAATAACTGACAGCAGGCCCCTCAGCAATGGAATATGCCAAGAGATTCAAAGCAAATGCTCCATTTTTCTAGATGCTAAATATGGTGCACAGTCTAAAAAAACACATCTGTGCAACAGAAATGAAAAAGGAAGACCAGTGAAATTAATTAGTAAAAGATGTGCACGAAAATGGCCTCAATGGAGGAAGGGGAAAGACATGCCAGGTACGTCCCTTCATCCAAATGTCAAAATATGAGCATCTTGGATCAGCCAAACACAGCTGATTCACAGGATACCTGCATTCAAACCTGTCTGATGCTATCATGTTGTATATGTATTGGGTGATTTTCCCTCACTCCCTACGCATCTTAAAAATAAAAAGCAGGGGGAAATTAAACTCTAGAGAGAAGTGCTTGATAACATTAAGGGGCCGATAGAAAAAACAAAGTTACAGGGCATCAGACAGGGGAGGAGGAGCCTTGCCACCCTATTCCCTATTCTCCCTCTTCTTAACAGCCTAGGTTTTGCTTTACTCGCCATCTCACCCTCAGCTTTACAGGTTGAGAAGGTATGAAGAAAGGCAGCCGGAGGTTCCAACTTCCTCTTGCAGGCTGCCTTGTCTGTCTCCAGGTAGTTTGGAATTCGGCCATCAAGCACCTTGCTTACGTGGGTCACTTTTGATGCAATGGGTGTACAGCTAGGAGACAGGCTGGGTCCCAACGTCCACACCCGTGGAAGAATCTGAGCTGCCTTTTAAGGGCAGTTAGTGGAGCAGCAGCCTCGGAGATGGAGTATCAAAGACTCGCACACTCCAGCACTGAGGGCACCAGCAGGGTCGTGCTCACCTCCTCCGCCATCTGTGTCAAGTCGCGCTTCATGGCGTACGCATCTTCTCCATCGGCGTAGTATTTGGGCTCCACTTCACTGATCCTAGTGGGAAGAGCAAGCATGCTGGCCTCACTGGAAAAACCACCCCAGTCAAGTCCCAGAAGCCTGCCCCAAGCACGCTCACAGCTGGTCTTAATGCAGAAGAGGCAGGTGTGCGAGCTGGGAAGCCCCAGTTCAAATCTCCTCAGCCATGAATTCACTAGGCAGCTGGAGGCAGGGCACTATTCTCTCAGCCTCAGACCCCCGACCTGTAATATAAGGATAACAATACTGGCCTACCTCACAGGGTTGCTGTAAATATTATCAAGATAGTGCACATGAAGTGCTCTGAACACTTAAAAAAATAAAAAGCACGTTATAGATTGGGCTCCCACCATCCCACGGCTGGCAACTGGCTGGAGATGAATGGCAGATGAATCTAAGAATGCATTTCCTGTCCTCAGAATAAATGCTTAGGTAATAAGACTTTGAGAAGATTTGCAGGTTAGAATGGGGATGAAAAACCTTCATGGGATCATAAAAACACGCCCACCAGCCTTCAAAGATGCATGTATTTTCTAACCTGCTTTTCATATCTAGCACTGGGATTTCCTCGATGTCTTGGAAATTTGTTCAATTTCCCTAAAGGAGATTCAACTATTTTAATCCGATGTGTTTTTAAACATCGCTCAACCCCATTTCCAGCAACCGAAGCTGTGCATTCAGGTTCACACGGAGGAGGAGTTGCATCTCGGAGGCAGAGCACATGTTGCATGTAACTTGCATCTCCAGGAAGGGCTGGGAAGCCTCCTGGCTGGAACCCTGGGAAGCCACAGCCA